AAGCCTCCAACTGCCCCTTCCAAACTACTTAGTCTTGAGCTGCTGTCATCTTCACTCCTCCGTTGTCACCACGAGGTTCTTGCATCCTCGTGGTCAGCCTATCTTGTGGCAGTGAGTTCTGTAGACTGTGGGAAGCGGAGCTGCTTTGGCCTCCCTGCCCAAATCCAGAGGACCAATAGATGGTAGGAATGAAAGAGGTATGGGTAAATTCCTTCCTTCCTTCCTTCCTTCCTTTCTTTCCTCTCCTCTCTCCCTCCCATCCCTCTCCTTCCTTTCCTTCCCATCCTCCTCCCTCCTTCCATCATTCATTCATTCATTCAGTAAGCCTACCATTTTAGCAAGGCATTCTGGTGGTGAGCAATTGTAAAATAAATTCAAAACACATTTCCCTCCTAAATGCAAAAATTAACACACACAGCAGCCAAAGAGGATGCTACTAGTGGCAGTTAGGCCCAACCATGAGACAAGAACCAGGTCTGAGCACGGCAGCGGATATTGGTAGTCCAGATCTAACAGCCATATTTATGAAGCCATTCCAGCTGCTTGGAACTATTTTGAGACCATGTTCAAACGGAGAAATTAAGACAGACGCATGGACAAGACAATTTAGTGTCACCCTTAATTTATTACACGATTATTTACATATTCACAGAGGCAGTTTGGACCGGACCTCACAGTTCAGCTCAACAGCCTAAGTGTTGGTCGATCTGCCTCTTTTACACACACAAATGCAATGGTAAACACACACACACACACACACCAGTGAGTGCCCAGTGTTCAGAATACCATTGTGTTGGCATTGTAGTCCTATCGCCCTTCCCATTCCTCTAAGAAAAAAACGAAGATGCAAGCACCTTTTGTGATAAGCTGGAGAAAGGAATTAGCCCCTCTGAAATTGTTTTGGCAATTAATACAGTGCCCAGAGCTTGCAAACACCCCCCCCCCCCACACACACACACCTCAAATCACAATTTCTCTGCCCTTTCATAGGCTGCTTTGCTCCTTTCTCAACATTTCTTTAAAGAAATCCCGACAAACTTGTCCTTTCTTCTTTCATTTTCAATAAATTCTTTGCACAACTTGGAGGGTTTTGCTGCTCGGAGACACTTCAAACTGCGCGACGGGCAGCAAATAAAACTTGATAATCCTAATCACAGCTGCAGAGGGTTGAGCGGGCATTCAGCCTGGTGTGTGTGTATGTGTGTGTGTGTTTGTGTGTGTGTGTGCATGCGTAGGTGCGTGTGTTTTATGAAGAAAATACATAGACCCATTTTACGGATGGGAATACTGATGTCATATGGCGTGCTTGCAAAGGATGTGGGATTCCGAAGGGAGCTTGCTTTGGTGAAAACCCAATGCCCTGACATCACCCTATACTAGTACTTTTTAACTAAAATAAATATGAAAACCCCCTCCCCATGCCACCCCAAAATTTATAGCTCTTATCCCACAAAGATAAAATTTCAATTAAACCTGGCTGAAAAGATAAATATTCAAATAGTGAAGAAAGTAAAATATTTGGGAATACAGCTATCAGCAAGGTGTACAACAATTGAAGATAATTATATTAATTTGACCAATCAAATAAAGAATTAGAAAGATGGAGAAACCTGTAACTCTCCTTTATGAGGAGAATCGCAGCAATAAAAATGAATATTCTACCTAAAATACTTTTTCTTTTCC